CAAAAAAAATCCACAAACAACCTTAGAAGCTTTCATTGTCAAGCTGTTGCCGCGTGCTGCAATGTATGGGGAGGGGGGGGGTGAAATTAGTGAGATAACATCAAATTTCTGAGGAGCTGCCATTTATTCTTTCTACTTCCTGCATCTCTTCAGGCTGTGCCAGGCACATAACAAGAGCGCAGTATTTTCTGAGCACTGTTGTGGTATTGTGGCTCTGTGTGGTACTCCGAGGTCCTCTAATCAGTTGTGACAGAACTCTGTGTATGTGCGTGTGTGTAATCAACTGAGAAGGCAGGGGTGGGGATTCTCAGGCCCATCAGAGAGGACGATGTTGTCATCATCAGCACACGACTCTCCTCTTTAATTCCGATTCATATCGTCTTCTTTTCTCTTTTTTTTTTGCACTGACTTGCACATGAGGTTAAATCTTATGTTCCCTTCTGTGTGTGTTTATGTGCATGTGTGATTACAGTAAGCACCAAGTTTCACATCATAAAGCAAGTGTTAAGTGATGAAAGCCCATTAGAGCACATGCCAAGCATTAATAGGATCAGTTGCATTGAGGGATAAGGATCAGAAACCTCTGGATGCCGGTGAAGGGTGCAGGAATCTGTGTGTGTTTGTATACGCTCCTGGAACTCCACAGTTATTCATTTTACAGCAAAGATCAAGTTAATCTCCTCTGGGACTTCAGCTCTGGTTCTCACGATTATAGGCAGCTCCCAGTTCAGTTACACATGTACATACACACACAGGCACACACAGGCAGACAAACAGAGTGAATTTCCTGAAGCAGATCTCCACATGATACACTGTAAACTGGTGTCACAGGCTCCGTGCCATTGAACTATGACCCACAGAAAAACGGCTGAATTCAAAACGGCACTCGTTTCTTTCATTAAAATGCAATAATTAAATACACGATTCATTATAAATAAAGACAAAGCATCATATAAAACTGATCTTCAGTCTCCCTGCCTCTATATATGAACACACACGCGCAAACTAATCTATAACATCCCGCTGACTGCCCCAGTGACAGCGCGTCAGTGCGCATGGATGCACGGCATCTGCCACACAACACAAACACGATGCGAGACTCACACTCGTCCGGTCCCTCGCAAAGTGCGGTTACCTTCCAAATTTAGTCTTTCTGAAGTCCGTCTCGCGCGTTGGGTGCGCGGCCGGAGGCGCGCGTCGCTGCGCTTGCGCCATATCTGCCGAAACCAACGAGCGTCGCCTCCTCTTACGGATTCCCCATTCCGGATGTCCCGCAGCCGACCGTCCACTGATAAACGCATAAAGTCCAGCACGGGGGGGGGGGGTGGAGGGGTCAGCGATAGGCCAGCACCGACACCTTTCAGCCAAAGCTAGGAAACTTCCCCAAAAAGCGATCCATCCGAGCAGGGGGGCTCCGGATGGGGAAGGGGCGCTGATGGGAAAGTGTGTCGGGGTTTTGTTCCGAGTCTCGGACGTGTTTGCAGGATGTTCCGCGGGACTGGGCTCGTAACCCCTCCTCCCTCCTTTTCCCCTCCCTATACTCTCCCCCTCTCCTGACTGATGATAACAGATTAGCAAACAGCAACTCCTCCGCGCTGCACATCAGCGGCGTGTGGACAAGTGTTGGAGCACAACGCAGTACCTGGACACACTGTTAGAGGAAGTTTCCTATGTCCTCACGACTAAATATGAGGAGGAGTGGGAATTAACGCATTGTAGTAAAAAAAAACGAGAAAGATGCCAGACAGTCTTCTCCTGGTCCTGTTGGTGGGCAAAGTAAAAGTTCTAGTGCACTTTCATTTTTTGCTTTATCCCTGTTCAGATGAACTGGCCCATGTCTTGTTTTTAGATACACATTGTATTTGTGTATCTAAGGGGGGGTGAGCAGCAACATGCAAAAGTTTTGGGGAAAAAAAACCTCTGACTTCATCTCATATTACTCGTCTCTTTATCACTCTGGTGTGGTTACAGCTTGCCCACATCCACTGGGAAGCCCGGTTATGTAAATTTCCAGGCTTCAGGACACCTTCTATGACTTTGCGAACCTATCCGACGTTATGAGCTCAGCAGCCGCCCAGAGTTCTGAAAATGTATAAATACCCACAAAGCATGGGAAAACTACAAGTGTTCACACAGCTGCTTCCCAGCTTTGCAATAAGAAATGGTGGTTCAGCGGTTTGGTGCACAAACATTTTGGGGGTTGACTGAAACAGTGGCCGTAAGTTTCCCAGAACGGCTCATAAATTGCCAGAGGGGGCAAAAAAAAAAGTCCTCTGTGACCCTGAAAGGCATCCAGGAAGTTTTAGCTGATACAGAAGAGGTGTTATTGTTTTTCCATAAATACGATGTCCACTGTTGGGTTAGGAGGAGAAAAGCTGCCCTGTGTCCTCGTTATAAAACAACAAGTGAACAAACCTAAAACCAGCTGTTGAGGAGAGAGTAGGAGCACAACTCTGACACAGTCACAAGCAAAGGAATGTTTTAGGAACTGTTACAGTGGAATTCCAGGAATAGAACTTCCAACTGTGAAACACGGATTGGCTTTATCATGCTTTGGGCTTGTGTTCTTGCTCAATTCAAAGAATTACATCGTTTTGGATCAATACGGGTTTATAGGTTTTGGAAGAACAGGTCGCACTGATTAAAGTGTAGAGTCTGGATCCACAGCACGGACAGAAAAGTCCAAACTATTTACTTACAGTGAAAATGTTCAAGCTGAAAAGAGAGAGTCCAAGAATCAAGTGACAAGTGGACAGTGAGTGATTCACTGGACCTGCAAGTTCCAGGTTTGGATAACATATTCCAGAAGTGGTGTGGTGGTTAGCACCATCACCTCACAGCAAGAAGGTTCCCAGTCCGACCGGGTCTGTGACACCTGTTCTGGGGATACCAATCAGTGTAGGTACCGGCTGCCCCTCCCACCACCTTAAATTAGAACAAGCATCGTTATTGATGGCTGGGTAATCTAATGCAGAGGACAGGTCCTTGCTGTTATTAGAAGATCTAATATCTGGTTCTACTGGTTATCAGCTGACACAGCTGGATTTGTAAACAACAGTAAAAGAGGTATGGTCTAAAATCTTAGAATTTCAGCAGGTTTCTTCAGATGTCAGTATGGCCCGAGAATCTCCCATAAATGAAAAACCTGTTATCTTCGACAATATGCCCCGGTACTGTCTTGAACATTCTACTCTAATAAGTAAAAGCAGATTACAGAGGAATGACTAACACTGAAATCAAGATTTTCAAGATCAAGATCAAGATTTTCTCAAGGGCTCATTTCTTGTTTATTCAGCCCACTTTGGATAAAAATAAAATCATTTAAAAGCTGCATGAAATAGATATCAAGTTGACAGGGAAAAACACTAGTTCACGAGTTTTAAAAACATGTGGATATCCAGAAAGCCGCTCTATTTGAAAAGTCCGTTTTCCTCTTTTGTATTTGTAAAGAATGCATAATACAGCATATAACATTAAAATACTTTTCTTTTGTATAGGAATGGCCCTTTTCTGTAGGATGTTCATGTCCTCAAAAGAAAAGAGAGAAGGTTACTTTTTTGCTCTCCGTTTTGCAGATCCACTCATGCGTCTCTTCAAACAAACACTCACACGCGCTGAAAGTGAACGGAAAATTAAACATTAGCCAACAATAACAGTGGGCAGCAGAGGCTGGCTTTGGCACTGAGCAGCAGCTGTGACACAGAACAGATACAGCATGCAAACACACAGACGTCCACACAAACGACGCGCTGCAAGCAAAACTCATCCACACCCACTGCCTTTAAAGATTAGCCTCAGTATCAATGACTGTGGTCAGATTCTACAGTTAAGTAACACGCCAACGCAGGCAACACTGAGTCAACCCGTCAGGTTCAGAGTGTGTATGAGTGTATGGAAATGTTTAGGGAAGTAAACAGGTGAACAAATATATGTTTCAGTCTCCTTTAGCACAGTCTCAGACATGTGAGTTGTGTAACAGTTCCTAAAAGTGGTTAAAAATCTGTTAACATCATTATATTCAACAGTTTAACTCTGATTAGGAAAATGACAGCTGCTATTTTTTGTGGGGGGGGTTCTTTGTTTCCAAAAAAGCTACATTAAAACTGGGGAAGTGGCTTTGCTCTCTTTTTCACAAACCCCAACTCCCCCGCCCGTACCTCTTGTTTGTTTGGAAGCTCTGGTCCGGACCTCTGCCTGTGCTAGCAGACCTCTGGAGAACAAGGGGCCACTCAGTCCCTCCAAACAGTAAACTGGACCAAAGGACACAGCCGACACACAACACTGACAATGGAGCAAACAGAACACCGGATGGAGTCGCTATGGTCGTTTTAAAACCTGAAGGCTAAAGACAACAGGATGCAGGGTGCTCTGTAACATGTTTATTTCTAACAATAATTAGTATTATTATATGTTATTAAAAAAAAACTCAATCAAAACTCTGACTTTGTATTTCAATCTTTTGTGCTCAATAGTGCAGATATATTTTGCCTCAAAGTTAAGCGTTTTAAATAGTATTTCAGAATCTGATGATAATTCATTTGGATTTTTAGATGCAAAGTAAGACTTTAAATCAAGATTTTTAGAAAGCATTTTAAGCTTGAAAAGACAATATTCAGATGTATGTCGGCATTGCAAGGCAAATCTCATATTGTGGAGACAGGCAGAAATATGAGATTCTTATTCAGAAATCAGTGGTTTGGCTCAAAAGAACATTCTTTTTTAAACACAATTCTTAATTTTTTTGGTTCTTTCTTTTCTTCACCCAGTTTCCTAGCCAGTATCAATTACAATGGATTGGTTTCTTGAAAACTTTGACTTCCTGTAGCTTTTTTTTTTTTTTTTGCTTTCTTTCCACTCGTATATTTTTATGCCAGCAAGCTGATTGTGTCTCAACTCTATATCCTTCCTTTGTTCAGTGAGATCCTCATACAGGATGAGCAGGAGACTGCTTAGTCTGGCTCCATCTGCTAGATGTTTTTTTTAGTTCGCAGTAAATCATTTCAGCAGTGATTACTATCTGACATGCTCCGACTAACACCTGGCACTCCAATGTTAAGTTAAGTTACTCAGTTTTATGCAGAGGGAGATATAGTCAAAACCTTTGCCCTGTTTATGTGGCGCCATTGTTGTTTACCATCATGTTGATTTTTGTTAACCATTCAGTAAATGAGCTGGAAGTTCCCTGCCATTCTGTCGCACACACAAAAAAGGTGTCTTTATGGGATACAAGTTTTGCACAAGTCAAGACTAGAATATCCAGATATCACCTGTCTGAAATTCCATCTTGATACCCACAGGAAGAAGCTGTGGCTGATATATGACATCCATGTTTTTCCTAATCACAGACTTGAGCTGGTTGTAATTCAAATGGCACCTTCACTTACAGTCTTTGTAAGAAAAGTCTTCTTCTACTCTTCCTAGTGTGCATTTTAATGCAGCTGAAAAAGATAACAGACTGAAGAAATTTGTTTTTTTTCTCACAGCAGAAATGTCCTCACAGAATATTTCAACCGTTTTCTACCCAGATTAAACATAAAGCACTCATTATACACATATATGTACATACAAATGTTATTCTTTATTATTAAACCTGAATTTAAAGGAAAGAAAATGTGTTTTATCATTGTGAATAAACAGAAGGACGTGTCATTTGCACATCTGTAAAGAAGACCGTTTATTTAAAATGTCGTTTGCGCCTGCAGACGGTGAGGGGCGCTGGCACATAAAAACACGGAATGCTATTGCACAGAGGAGTTTCGATGGGGGCGACTCGACCAATTATTCTTCTCCCTGTCTGAGGGAGGAACAGATATTCCCTTTTTAAACCTGTGGCTGGTTTAATTTTATTTCTGCTACCATGTCTGTGCGTTTAAGGAAACGGTCCCTTTAAAAGTTCTGCACCCCGTGTGTCATGAGCATGCGCAGTGGGACTAAACGACACCCCCCACCACCTCCTATGAAAAACAACAACAATCACTATAGCAAGGCTGGAAAAGGAGATGGCCCCCTGAAGCTCAGTACTTTTGGCCTTTTCGCGGAACTCTTTCCTGTCCAACTGCTGCTATTTCAACCGAAGCTTTATATATCAATGGTGCCGAGCCCATGAACTTGGCCAGTCAGAGCGGGGATGCTGGCGGAAGCCAGCTCCTCTTCGCCAACTTCAACCAGGACAACACGTAAGGCAGGGCCGGGGAGACTGTCTGGGGAACCGATGGCCTGTGGGTGCTGTCAAGCTAGCTGACGTTAGCTAGTCCGTTAGCCCGGGTTTCACCTACATGGGCCCCTTAACGGGTGGCGGGTTTGTGTCGAAAATAGTTAAGTGGAGGTTTGTAATGGCATAAATTACGAAAAGTGAGCGGTAGTTTAAACTGTTTGACCAAACCGTTTTAGATAGATTTTGTGACATCACGCACTAGCATAGCTTGCTAGCTAACATGATGCTGTGAGGCCGGACGCTAACTTTAAGTCTCTATGCAACGGGGATAGGTCGACAGATATTTTAGAGGGACTCCGCTGTGAAAGTCTTCATTAGAAATATGCAGCTTTATCTTAAGTAAAAGTGTTTTAGCTCCGTTAGGGAGCTGTTCATTAAGCCAGCTCGTTGCCTAGGCACTACAGCTGGGGTCCTTTTACTGATTGTGAAATCTTTCAATTCTGCGTGTGTTTGCTTGGTGTTATGGAATAAGACTTCCAGTGTCACGGTGATTCTCAGCGATGGGTTTCTGCAGAATCAACTGCCGAGGACTTATGGCCCATTTGGGGTATTGCAACACCGCTTTAGTCGTGTGACCAACGTCAGCTATACCCTACATAGCTAAGGCTCTGACTATATGTGGCTATATGTTGGTTCCAGCTCCTCTGTGTTCGTCTGTTTTGTGTTGCTGAAGCAGCTCTCGTTGACAGTTAGCTGTCACCTCTGTTTCCTCTATCCCTACAGGTCCCTGGCCGTTGGTACCAAATCAGGTTACAAGTTTTTCTCCTTGTCTACTGTGGATAAATTGGAGCAGATATATGAATGTAGTAAGTGTAGTAAGCTTTTTTCTTCTTTATAGCTCCCATCATCTTGCCGGTGCGTCCTCTGTATTTTTTAAAGAGAGCTCAAAGAGTTTTAACAACTAAACCACCTTCTCTACTCCTGTATTTTCAGGGTTTTTTTTCCTTGTGCTTGTTGCCAAGACATAATGCAGCCACTTTAATGCCAGAGTCTTGCCTATGTTTTAAATATTTATAGTGTCTGTCAGCAGTTTTCTAACAACAGTTACTCTATCATCAATCCCCCCTCCTTGTCATTAGTATAAGATGTTTATGTAGTCTCTGCAACAGCCATTTTTTTTCACTTATCTATGGTGGTGTGGACCCAGTTTTGGTCATTATGTTGCATGTGAAACTTGAGAGCAATATTGGAAATGGGAGACTAAAGTTATATGGTCCATTAGTTTCTTAACAGCCTTTGACTGACCTGTCTACTGAAAATAAAAAATGCTCTTCCAGTTGTGCTCAGATAAAAAATAACAGATCTTGTTCTTCCTTAAGTCAGCTTTTTGTTTTCCCATTTCACTTTCGTTTTTACCTCACGTCAAGTAAGTGACATGACAATGACTCTGTGCAAACATCCTGAATTGGTTCAGCAGTTTCTTGCTTGTGTCGCTGCAGCCGACACGGAGGATGTGTGTATCGTGGAGCGCCTGTTCTCCAGCAGCTTGGTGGCCATAGTGAGCCTGAAGGCCCCCAGGAAGCTCAAAGTCTGTCACTTCAAGAAGGGAACCGAGATCTGCAACTACTCCTATTCCAACACCATACTGGCTGTCAAACTCAACAGACAGGTAGGAAGTGGAGGGGGAGAAAAGCATTCTCATTTGTCACCGGCGAGGTTTGGCAATGTGTTTGTTTAGTTTTTTTGCAGCCATGTTGATGTTGTGTTGTTCCTCTGCAGAGGCTGATAGTCTGCCTGGAAGAGTCGCTTTATATCCACAACATCAGAGACATGAAAGTACTGCACACTATCAGAGAGACCCCACCCAACCCTTCAGGTGAGTTGATGGATGACTTTTGGCCCAGCTTAGATATATTTTAGTCTGTGTCCCTCTTTATTTACCATTCTTTGTGCCTGCTGCTTTATAGGGTTATGTGCCCTCTCCATCAGCAACGAAAACTGTTACCTGGCCTACCCAGGTAGTGCTACGATAGGAGAAGTCCAGGTGTTTGACACAGTCAACCTGGTAAGAGAAGCGACATGAAGAAGTGTTCTACCATGCCTTTTTATTTGAGATATGCCGAAACATTTACAGCAGCCTCTTCTCCCCAATTACCATTCCTTTAACTGTGTTCCTGAAGTAGGATATCTCTAAATAGCGGCTCTGTTTGTCTCACAGAGGGCAGCGAATATGATTCCAGCCCACGACAGCCCCTTAGCGGCGTTAGCCTTCGATTCAAGTGGAACCAAGCTGGCAACGGCATCAGAGAAAGTATGGCCTCACACATAAGCCTGTCGTTTACATGGTGAATGACAATCCCCCTCCCTTTCTTTGCATCTTTAAATTTGATGTGTCTTTCACCCCCTCCCAGGGCACAGTCATTCGTGTCTTCTCCATCCCAGAGGGACAGAAGCTCTTTGAGTTTCGGCGAGGAGTTAAGAGGTCGCTGGAAGTTTAGGTTTTCTAGACATGAAAGAGCTTTCACTGTGATGGACTGTGATGAAGTGTGCTCACCAGCTTCTCTGTGCGCCCTCGCTTCTCGTCTCAGGTGTGTGAGCATCTGCTCGTTGGCGTTCAGCATGGAGGGCCTGTACCTTTCTGCTTCCAGCAACACAGAGACGGTCCACATTTTCAAATTAGAGACGCAGAAGGAGAAGTATGTGTAAGTGCCTTTCATTCTATAAACGACATGTATCCATGGCCACTGACCTGCACAACAACGACGACTCAGTGACGTTCCGTTTGCGCCTTCAGGCCAGCAGAGGAGCCAACCACATGGGGAGGATACCTGGGGAAGGTGCTGATGGCGTCCACCACCTATCTGCCTTCACAGGTCACAGAAATGTTCACGCAGGGCAGAGCCTTTGCCACCGTGCGTCTGCCCTTCTGTGGGCACAAGAACATCTGCGCCTTAGCTGTGTAAGCACATGCACACTCTCAGACTCTCACACAAAGTGGCGCCAAGCTGAGACTTCAAGGCACCAATGTGTTTGTCTACCGCACATTTTCTCATCTTGAATCAGGATTCAGAAGATTCCCCGCCTACTGGTCGCAGCAGCCGACGGGTACCTTTACCTGTACAACCTGGATCCACAGGAAGGAGGGGAGTGTACACTGATGAAGCAGCACAGGTATAACACACACACACTCACTGTGAATACAGTCCAAGTGCATCATAGGAAACGTTAATGAAGCCCTGGTCTGTAGACGGTATGAACTGAGAGTTTCTGTCTCTGAGCTCAGGTTAGACAGCAGCACTGACCCCCCCAATGAGATCCTGGAGCAGGGCTCCCACGATCGCCCTCTTGTGGCTCAGACCTACAGCGCTGCAGTCACTAAAGGTAAGACTCATGTTTCCACATATTTTACAGGTTCTTAATTCCCCTAGAGCTGGATTTTAATTTGGTGTTGTCCCTGAAAGAACAGTTGTAGGGAAAATCAGCTTTCTTTTGGAACTGCCCTCTTATGAATGCTGCTTTTTTTCATAATGTTGTAAATGACTGTTTTCATAACTCAAAGCTTCATAACACTTTTAGTCCAAATCACAAACAAGTGACGCACGTACATACCGAATGTCCGGTTTCTGTGAAAGCTGTTTGTGTGACTGCTGGACCTGTTGCCTAGGTTACAGCGAAGAACAGGGTGCCGTCGGAGGGGCCGGGTTAGAGGAGGATCTCAACGATTTGCGCTTAGAGGAGGAGAATGAGCAACCGCCACTCATCCTGGAAACCGAATGACTGAACCGATGGCCGTACTGACCAATCAGAGGGCTCCTCTGGTGCTGCTATGAACATGTGACACAAAGGGTGGGGCGGGGGGGGCACAGATCAAAGATGGGAGGGAGGGGTGTTCAAGAATCTGCCCGTCAGTCAGCCTGTGCGTTTCTCTTTCCACTTATCCATCTATCTTCTCCTCCCTCCCTCCTCCGCTCCCCTGTCCCTTAGTTTGGCCTGCGCGGGCCAGCCTGGAGCTTTGCATGTACATGTGCCAACCGCTAAGAAGAAAAAAAGAAGAAAAACATGCTCTAATGTGAAAATGACTACATGTGGGTGTGAGCGTGGTCGAAAAATAATGTAGCTGTGTCTCCTTTTCATGGACACACAAGCACAGATGTAAGCACTGTGTAAAATGAAAGCGATTGTGTAAGTGCCTCTCTGCCCCCGCCCCCTTCCACCCCCCCCTTGTCATGGTTTGAAAGTGGAGAGGGTCTCTTTCTGTCGGAGTAATAAAAGTTGGTCTCCAGCTGTCTGATCTTCTCCTGACCACCCCCTGCTGTGTCACATGCAGTCGCACGCCGCCCCGCCAGGACTGGAGCCGCTTTGCCGCTGAGAGCTGGAGCTGAAGCTTCGTTTGTGTGAGTGTGCCGGGCATGTACATGAGCAAAACACCCACTATTTAGCCACCCCGTATCCCCACTCACTTTTACCTCGTTCATACAGAAGATAAGTGGACCATCCTGATCGCTCCCACCCCCCCCCCCCCCAATCCCCCCAAGTCCCCCTGGCCTGAACTCATTGGTTCATTTCTTTTTTTTTTTTTAAATCTCTGACGATCATTTTAAAAATAATCTCCATAACTAATCATAACCGATGACGCGTCACTCGTATGAAAACATGCATGGTTTTTCGATGTGGTACTGTGCCCATCCATCAGACTCTTGTGGCCGGCGGCGCTGGGTCCAGGGAGGCGCTCAGATGTCCGGTCGCTCTTCATCCTGCTGTAACTCTACTCGGTGCGTTTACTAGTTGTGGCAAAAAAAAATATACCTGCGCCCAGTTGTTAGGTTATGATTTCAAGTCAGCGCTTACCCCCAGGAAAAGGAAAAGTGGATGTTTGACCTGGGAGTGAACAGGCCGGGCCTCGCCGACTGGTCCAGGATGCTGCACGACTCCCTGTTAATCCTGAGCAAGGATTGGCCGTGGGGGGGTTTTGGAGCGTCAGGCATTTTCTAATGATTTTGTATAAAATGTGAAACATTCATCTGAAACAAAAATGAAAATAAATTCTGTATTGATGTATGAGATCTGTTCCTCTTCCTTGCCAGGTTGCTTTTTAACTGTGTTACCTGTGGCAGTGGAGACACACTTGATGTGAAATCAAGCCTTCCTCAAGTTTGGAGCTTTAAAGTGTCCATACACCACTTAAGAAATTAGAATTTAGATAACATGATAATCCTTGCTAGATGGTCAGTCAGCTAACATTTCAATGTGTGTTCAAAGTTGGGTTTTTTTTTTAATTATTATTTTTTTTATATAACAAGTTTTCTACCCCCCTCTGCTGGTAAAATAGAAATCCTTGTTTGATCTGAGGGTTCAAAGGATACATAGTTTTAAGCATTCTACTTCCTAATTAATCCTCAGAGCCCAAGCCTTTGCCTTTGCAATGCACACATGTGATTCCTTTATTTTTATGCTCCCACTTGATGGTTCTATTAGTGCAGCGTTGGACCAATTAGAACTAGCAGTAGTCAGGAAAACAGGGATTTTCTTTGCTGTGTCAGAACATGTGTACACCATCTACCGGCTGACCTTTCCCTCCAGCTTGAGCCTCTCCAGGCTCCAGTTTGGGATGCTGCCTCCTTGGCCTTCTATGTAGAAGACATAGAAGCAGATTTGTTCCAGGAGATAAGTGGAGAGGGGCCACAGAGAAAAAACCAGAAGAGCGTGGGACTACACTCAAATTTTTGAGACTGACTCATCGGTATTGTGACTCACAAACGCAGCAGACTTCCACTAATGCAGCTATAAATCCTCCCTGGACTCGTATTCCAGAAAACTGTAGATGTTGTCATTATTACGGAAAAATAACTCAACTTAGTCTGTGAATGAAACTCTTTGAGATGTGCGATGGGGACACACTAACACAACCACTGAGTCACTGGCATGTGTCAGTCGCACAATCACAGGACACAGGGACTTAGTTCCTCCAGATGTTGCAACAACACTTACATAATTACACTGAAATTCACAATCCCATCGCTTTTGTTCCACTCTATTATATCTGTTCCCACCCCCACCTCACACACACACACAGACATAACTCTCATTCACTCACCTATAATCCTCTCCTCCTCGTTCTAATGATCTTATGCAATGCTCATCACATTTGTTGTGTTACAGAAAGTCGCATTTGTGACTCCATCGGCTGACGGTGGTTTATCCGAGCCTTCACTCTTCATCTTCCGCTGAGATGGTTTGAATGATGACACTAGTGGAGGCATCGGAGAACCACCGAGCCCAGAGGGGGTTTAGCCTGGCTGGTACACGGCTGCCTGATCATTTTCATTGTCGGGTGTGATGGAGAAAGAAAAACTCCAAGTGCAGCTCAGTGTTTGAGATCAGGGCTGGGTGAGGACCCGGGAGGTGATTCAGCTCTGAACACTTGAGTTAAAGTTGTGGATCCCAAGGTCTTTCTACAAACACCTGCATTCAATCTGTTCAAGGCTCTTTTTGTAAACAGATACAACTTCAGGGAGATTTTTTTTCTCCTGTTGACTAGATTCCGCTTTGGTTTTGTGGCATTTTTCCTTCCTGTCCGAGATCTTTTGAAACCACAAATTCCAAACTGACCCTGTCATCTAGGTGGTGTGCAAACAAATGAACTTAGTTTTTTTAATTGAATGTGAGTGTATATGGTTGTTTGTCTCTGTGTGGCCCTGTGATGGACTGCTGACCCGTCCAGTGTGTGCCCTCACTGTTGCGTGCTGGGATAGGTTCCAGTGACCCCTTTGGGAATTTCTAGATGCTTGACATCTTGATGTGGTTATCCTGTAGTAAAAGACAGTTTGGAAGGATGTGCCTTCCTTTTATTTCCTGACATCCAGCACAGGCCTCCTCCTTTTTGAGAAGTGAGACCAGCAGGGGCCTGAAGGAGTAAAAGGGCTTCTTTGTATCTTTTGCCGCTGTCTCAGTTGATGTTGGCTGACCAGTCCAGGTTTGCTGGTGTGCCATGGCTCCACCAGGGGGAGCACTAACAAACTCAGCCAATAAGGAATCTCAGAATTAGGAGTTTAGTATTTGGCTTCTGTTCAATGGACAGATTTTTTTTTTAAACGTCAGAAAAAACTTTAAAATATCTGGAAAGAAACTCATTTGGAATATTGTCGGCAAGCAGCTTGTTTGTAGCCCGAAAAAACTTCCATAGAAACTTTGCTTGTGTGCTTTGTGGAATTTTGTGATTTTTAAAAAAAATTATCTGCAGCATGGAGGACTTTTGTTTTAAAACGCACAAAAACAATCATGTTTAAGTGTTTGTATTATTATTAAAAAAGGAACAAAAAGCTGCATTTAGTAAGAAAAAAGTATCTATAAATCGTCATTGAAAACGGAAACGAGCTAAAGTTGAGTCACTTTCGGGAACCTGCTTTGCTGAAAAAGCAGAACATGAAGTTTACTTAGAATTTTCCATTAAGTTAGTGGTCATGGTACACAACACGAGCTTAATGAATCTTATCACAGATTTTGTCAAGCTTTAAAGAGAGTTTTACGGCGTTGCATGTCCTTATTCCTCATTTATGCTTTTCTTACTGTCACAGAAATCCTTAACTCTTCTTCTCCTTCTGTGTCAATTAAATTCTGGCTTTTCTCCGTCGGTATATTTTGCGTTATCCACTCAGCAGTAACCTGGGAAATTAAGTCCTAACTGCTTGAGCAGATCAAACACCTCCCAGATTAATACACTTTGGAAGGATGTCTTCATCATAAGTATCCATCCATTCATTATCCTAACAGCTTATACCCTAATGGGGTCGCAGGGGGGCTGGAGCCTATCCCGGTGGTCAATGAGCAAGAGGCGGGGTACACCCTGGACGGTCTGCCAGTCCATCCTGAGTATTTCAATTTTATTTGAGTTTTGTCTCAGCATGGCTTCATATCGTTCTAAATCTTCCCTGAATGCTAGGCTGCCACCTCTTCCTCAGTCCACTCGATATTGATCAAGCCTGCTCCCAGCTAAATGAAATCAGGTCTGAGCGTCGGGTGCCAGCTTGACTTTCAGCCCTGAAATGAAGACAGCAGGAAGAATTCTCATTCTCATCTAAAATGAATATCTCTAAAGAATGAGGAGCTGATTTACCAAAACCCGAGTCTTCCAGAATCATCTGATCCTCCATAAACCCCTGAGAGGGAAGAAGATCATCTTAAATGTTTACCAAAAGACGATGGCAGATTCTCCAGTTGTGGAGAGGCGTCAGATGTGTAAACAACTGAGAGATGAAGCTCACATGGTCTGAATGGCTGCGAGGGAACCCGCGGCAGATACATGAACCTGGTCTCGTGCTCTGCCATGGCAGACGATGAAACGGGCGAAAAGACAAGTGAAAAACAGATAGTGTGTGAGAGAGAGGAGAAACATTTGGGCTGATTTCCCTCCGAGCAGATCTCAGAACTGCTGATGCTCCCTGTCAGTGCTGGGAACAGCCCAGACAGCTGCCAGCCCCCCCCTCCGACAATCCACAATGACTTCAAAGTCTTCTTGCCACTCCCTGAGCAAGTCATCCAGCAGCTGCCCTCTTTCCACATGTGACCGCATAATGATTTTTGAGCAACTCTTCTCCAGCGAGGATAAGATCACCACCTACAGCATGTGTGCTCACCCCTCTTTTCTGCTAACAATCCTCTCTTTTTTCCATATCTTCCCCCCCCCCCTCC